TCCTTCAATGCTGCTGGTTTCTTTCCCACAGGGAGACTCAGGAGGGCCTCTGGTGTGCGAGATCGATGACAGGCTCTTCCTTTTTGGAATCATCAGCTGGGGCGACGGCTGCGCAATGGAGTTCCGACCTGGCGTTTACACCAAAGTGGCCAATTATAACCGCTGGATAAAAGAGAAGACGGGTCTGACATCCATCATTGGTGGAGCCATGTGAACTCTGTGTTGCCCTAAAACCCCCTAAGACCCGGCAATTCATATTTGTCCTCTGTGGGGGACATGACACTGTGGCCTTTATTTTAAACACCATGCTTGCAGCCTGTTTGTGTCCTAATGTCCTGGAAAGAGGACATCCTGAGCTTTCTAGTGCTGTCACACAAATGGTGTGTGGCCAGCAGATCACATGTTCTGTATTTTTAGAATGGCAGCAACTGCAGCAACTATTTTTTTCTTCTGGGTCTCAGGAGGTTAAAGAAAGAGGATGGTGTTTTCTTCTTAGTGATGACAAATCCAATGAAAAAATCAAAACAAACAATGAACTGATGCTACAAACGTGTGTTGTTTAAATCCCAGCTCTGTCTGCTCCACTGTTTCACTCTGCACCTCATATGTGCCAGCAGGTTTTTACAACCTTTGTTTGTTATAGTTTGGCAACATCCAGTGACCATAGTAATTATAACACAAGAGAAGAAGTAACATGATGAGGTATATGGTACAAAGTCCTTGTTTGGTGGGTGGGTACACAAATCACAGGTGAGTGCGGGGTTCAGTTCTAGTGTGACATGTTTTGTGTGACATGTGTTCAACACACCTGGCCAATAAAGCTGATCCTGATTCTGAAACATAGTGCTGAAATAAAGCTCAACACTTCATCAGGAACAAAGAGAAGCAAAGGACCTTAAATAAATGTATTTTCATTGAACATACACAAGGAGCCCTGCAGGATTATTACATTCATTCAGTGATGAAGCCTTGATTTGTGTCGCCTGTCTGTGACTCCTCTTTACTCTGTGCCGATTTGGCACCATCTTGTAGTCAAAGCCACAGACGATCAGTTTCCAGTAATTTACTTCAAAACAAGATCATCAGTGCCAGAATTTATAAAGAAAGAAACACTAAGGCGACATGCTCCAAGCTGTGCTAAGTGGTGGAGTCTAATTTTGGTCTTTCTACAAAAAGCCCAGCTTCATGCAGTCGTTGTGATGTGAAGTCTCTCTTTATTTCCTGGGCTGTTTGGATTTGACCACAGGATGGTGCTAAAGTGGAGCAAATTAAAGAAGGTTCACGACCCAGAGATGCATGCGATGACTAGATTACTGGGTACTGTATTTATCCAACAGGTGCCTTGTGTATGTTGACTGAAAATGTACAAAGCTGTTGCATAAAGATGTTTGTCAGTAATCATGCCTGTGATTCCACAGGGCCATTTTTGCATCTGTAGCAGTAGTTTGTGGTCATCTGTTTGTGTTTTTACTTCTCTTTGTTTTTAATGTGCACATGTGAAGCAGTTTTCATGTCCTTGTGATCATACTGTGTCTCTCAGCGACAGTCTGTGCTGCAGGTGAAGTCGAGGGACCTCGTGGCCCCACGGGCACAGGGGCCTGCTTAGTAATCCATCCACATGCACCTTCAAAAAACAGGTCAAAACAGAGAGTTACAACCTTTATCAAAAGGTTGTGCATCAGTGATGTGCTCATTTGACAAGTTTTGGCAAAAGAAATGTAGCAGAATGCGTTGGATCAGCACTGGATTAACCCCACAGTGAAAAGACTTATTTATCACCAAGTGCATAATGTGCTCTTTTACATGAACAAGTCAGGCAAGTTTGGGCTTTATCTAAAATGACTCATTATAATCACGAAACTGACAGGTGTGGCTGCTATTCCTTCCTCTTAATCTCACCTGACTTTCAGGTATTTCACCTGGAAACTGTCACTCGGGGCTGATCTGCCATGTGCCTGTGCCAGCTCTGTTACGTGAGCATCAGCACTGAACTGCACTCTGGTCTACGAGTTCAATCTACCATCACGTGTGCTGGTGCAGACACCCCCCCATCAGCTCAGACACTGTGAGATGCGGCTGTGCGACTCAGAGGGTGTGTCTTCACACTTGTCTCCATACCAGAGCCCGACCTGTTTTCAGATGACTCCCAGCCATCGTGTGCCTGTGTGACAAAAAGTAAGTACGTTCATTTTGAGATAATTTCAATAAAGCTGGAGCCGTTTACAAAATCAAATGTCAAGTGGTAGTACTGGTGTGCTGTGGTGGTGGGGGTGGGATGTTCTTCATCTTCATTTCAAAGTTCCCACGCCTCTCAGCTTCAGAAACGTAACACATCCATTGCTTTTTCTGCAAAATCTTATTCTACTTGATGCATTTAATGAAAAGCTTTCATTGTAGCTTATTAAAAAAAATAAAACCATATTACACTGATGATAAACATGGAGCAGCCTCATCAGTTTCCACTTGTCACAGCTCTTCTGTGTTTCCAGCAGCCGTCACCATGCCTCAGTCTGCAGAGTCCCACTGTGAGACCATCTCCACCAACCGCAACTGTACCATAGAGATCACCAACGTGAGCTCCGTCTACTGTCTCGTCAACCCAAAGTAAGAACCACAGACACGCTGTGTGCTTGATGCCGAAAGGTACTTTTCTGCATGACTACCAGTGGTGTAAGTGCATGTAGCTCTGAGGTACAGTACTTGTATCTTACCTGAGTATTATCCTGCTTCGTACTTCTACTCTGCTACATTTTAGAAGCAAACATTGTACAGTTTACTTAACAACACTGCTTTGATTTTATATAAAAATCACATGATCCGCTTATAAAATACAATGCATTGTTAAAGATAGTGGCTCCCAAACCCGTTTGGCTCTGGCCCCCTGGGGCCACAGATGAGTTGTCTGCATTTCCAACAAAGAGATAGCTCCCCTTTCAACTTCTCAATATAAAAAAAATGACAGAACAGTCAAAAAAGTAAAATATGTATATCAGTAATTTATGATTTATCTTGCAAGCCTTTGATGGGGCCTGACCCTGCAGGAACCAATGGACTATATACGGTGAAGTCATTTAAACTAGCTCCACCTCAGTATTATTGTACAATATGCCACTCACAGTGCCAGTGTTTCTGCAGAAGTCTGTTTTTGACCACTCACAGTGCCAGTGTTTCTGCAGAACTAAGTCTGTTTTTGAAACTTTAAGTACATTTTGCTAAGTAGAACTTTTGATGCATGACTAACTTGTAATGTAGCATTTTTACTGTACATTGTGGTATTAGTAGTTTCACTTAAGTAAAGGATCGGAGTACTTCTTCCACCATGTGTGACTGCATCTCCCTTCTTCTATCCTCCAGAGTTCACATGGAAAGTGGCTTTGCCTTCAGTCCTCCGCAGCCCACCGTCCGCGCAACCATGACCGAGCTGTGCTCTTTCACCAAGGACGACAACACAGCGTCGGGCGCCGTGGGCGTCTTGACCTATGAGCTGTTTGACATGCGCAACCGCAGCGGCACCGAGCTGATGGCTGTCATGTTCTCAGTGCCCTTTGACTACAACCTCTACAAGAACTGGCTGGGAGTGGGCATCTTTGAGCACAACACAGCCTGCGATAAGAAGCTGTTTGAGCTCATGTACAACAGCAAGGATTTCACCAAGTTTGTGCGGCAGCAGGCCAACGGCTCCGGGCTGAAGTACAGTGGGAAGGTGGTGGACGTCAGGGCCTCCATGTCTGATGAGGGCAAGGCTATTATTAAACTGGAGCTGTACGACAAGATGGGCAGATGAGTCTGTTTGATGCAGTAGTGTTCAGCATCAAGAGAGTGCACAGCTAGTCCTGAACACTACAATCTGTCTGCCACTCATGTCATGTACTGTATGGGTGCTTCAAATGAATAAAAAACTGTTTAATGAATTTCATGTTTCTTTTTTTGTATCTTCTTTAATTTGAGCAGAAAACATCACATCATTAAAAATGTGAAGTGATCACAATGAAATGTTTCACATTGCTTCAAAAGGAATCACACTTCACTTCACAAGTGTCAGACTGCACAGCATGCTAAGCAGAGGCTGCACGCTCAAGAGACAAAAGCTGTGGTTCATAAGGAGACGTTGAGGAATGAGGGTATCACACACTGCTCCACAAGGCAGCTCGCAGTTTGTCAAAATAACAGGAAACAAAGAAACTACAGTGCTGCTGTTTGTTGGTCACACCTTGTCCTCGCCCCTCTGCTTCATGCAGCCTGCATACTTCAGGTGCAGGTGGACAAAACTTTTGAGACAGTGAGCATCAGAGAGGTGTGCACTGTGGGTGGAGACACATATTATACACTCCCCCACAAGCATGATCTAAAGAGTGAAACCAGTGTGTCAGACCTGGAGTGAGAAGCACACCTGTGATCTGCACAGGTAAGTTAGTGCATCTGGAGGTTTACTCACAAATACTAGCCAGTGAATTGGTTGTAGAAGGATTTGACAATGTACATCTTTTATTAAAATATGTTTAACTGCTCGTGCAGTTCTCTGCTGACACCTGTGCTCTATGCTCTGTCGCAGCTTTTACCAGCAACAATATGAGTGATTCAGCAGAGGCTGTGGCTGCTCAGCTCAAAAGCCGGAGGAATGTCACCATCGAGATCACCAACCTCACCAACAACTACTGCCTGCTTGACCCCAAGTAAGTGCAACTGAAGATGACAATGTAAAGCAGAGCAATGCTGAAAAAAAGTGCATATTCAGAAAATGCCCTCCTGGTGCAGTCTGACTCAAACTACACCAGTTCTCCAAACCGGGTGCAGACATTCATTGTCAATGCTTTCTTTGTTTTTGTCCTGTTTATACAAGGGTTTTCCTGGAGAACGGGAACTGCTACAGCCCCCCCAAACCCACCGTGCGCCCACTGAAAACTGAAGTGTGCAACTTTTGCAAGGGCACTGCCAAAACCACCGGCGCAGTGGGCGTCCTGACCTACGACCTGTTCGAGAGGCAAGCCAACTGTGCTACAGAGAAGTTGGCTATAATGTTCTCTGTGCCCTTCGACTATAAC